TGAAATAGGGTGAACACAACTCATAGAGATGGGTTTCCTCATAATCAAGTTGGTAGGCCTTAGGACGCCAGTTAATTTCAATTACTCTCATCTAAGCTCAATCCTGTCATCAGTACTCCAAAAGAGATTCGTTACCTGGTCGTGAGTATCATAGCGATGATACCACGGGTACCAGTGGGTCACAGCTAAGGTGTCATACTCATGGCAAACTAAGCCTTATCTAACCTACATTATATTAGGATTGCCAATAAAGCAAAAATGTATTTGTCATTCGGTATAATTAGGTTTTCGAATGTTTATTGAGGAAGTACTGCTATTTTCTGAACCTATTTAACTCGAAAATACCAAACAATTCAGTTCAAGTATTCACAAGAAATGAAAGTCATTTAAAGAAGGGAATCAATTTTCAGACAAGCTTACCGCCCAAAAAGAACCCATTGTCCATAAAGTCTTCCAGATTGGCCTCTTCGAAGATGACACCGATCAACCGTATGCCACGATCTTGACAACCGCTGTAAATACGGCTGATTCTGGCGGCTTCCAGGCGAGTGAACGGGCAGCCAGTACGGTTGAAGCAGACAATGATGCAGGAACCGTGCTGGTGGGCATAAAAAGCAAACGGTAAAGACGGGAAGACTTAGAGAGGAAAGTAAGCTGTACCTTTGTCAAATTAAGCCAGTCAAGGTGAATGAAGAACTGATAATGGAATTTTCCCAATAATCGTTGAAGAGTCCTCACGGCGCCAATTGATTGTAATTAATTCTGCCCCCCCCAAAAGTCTTATCCTCGAAGTTGGATTGGAGTGTAGACCCGGCCTAGGCCTCTCGTCCCCACCCCAATGGGATTTGAGACATTCTTGCGCATTGTGGTGACAATTTAACAATCTGCTGCCTAGCCCCGGGCTGCAGGCCATCTCAATGGGCAAATATGGATAGCATTTCACACTAGGCCTTGTCTACATCACATTTATAGCGGGATTGCCGAAGAGGCAAACGTATTTTATTTTATATGCATTCACCCTATTTCCTATAAGGTGATGAAGGATGAATTTCACATGGCATTGCTCTTCAAAAGGTATTCCAATTACGACTGGGATGGAGTGCATTTCAACCTCGTATCAACTGGTCTCATCAGCACCCCATCGGGACTCGAACCCGGGTACTGTAGCGTAGTGGTTAACGTGTCGGGACTATATGCGGCACTACCGCCATCTGGGTCCGAGTCCTTTAGGGGGGGGGGCAATGAGACCAGTTCACGTGAGGTCGAAAGTTCAGTCCACCCCAGTCGGGATGAGAATGCCTTTTGGGAAGCAAGGCCATATGAAGTTAAGTGGGAAGATGTGGCTTACTTACGTCATTATGTGTAAAACTCAGCTACTAGTCCTTCATCAACTTAAGCGGGATAGAGTGAATGCGTGATATGAGGGTAATCTCGAAAAACCTGATACCTTACACAAATTTCGTGTTAGCATGTATCAAAGACAAGAGACCTCTTTACTCACCCTTGCTCACTAAAAGTCACTGAACTATTGATGGTAGAATTTTCCCACAGTGATATGAATAGGCTGTCTCTGGGTACCGCATCTGCTCTATGATGCAATTTTATACGTGGCTGGTTAGGTCCGATACCAACGACTCACTTTTGAGTTCCGTTAAGGCGCTAATAAGACCTTGGCGAGGTCGAAACTGCGGTCAACATTGGATGAGAAAACCTTTTAAAATACAAGGCTAAATGAGATCCCATGAGATCCCATGTGAGAAAAAATATTCACAGTCACTCCCTAACTCACCTCAAGCGACCGAAGGTGACTTAGTTTATACTCAAGAATTACTGATATTTTCAAAACAACCTCCTAGGTAATACAATGTCAAGTAACCACACCAAGAATGAAGATGATTTTTTGAACATGCGAAGGTATTAGAAGTCAGCCGAAGACCTGCGCATGCAAATGTACAAAGTGAAGATAGACATGATCCTAGGTTTACCAAAACATGAATGAGAAGGACGAATAAAACGACTGTAATGCGCTTGGCCAAGAGGGCAGGAGAGATTAAATGATATTCTGAGGGTCAGGAGTGGGCTTCTGTGAACAAGCTAGCATTTTTAGGGGCAAGTATAAATGGTGGGGTCCATAGGAAAATTCCGAATGAAGACAAAATCTCGGGTGCAATAGAAAGACTGATAGATGCTGTCTTTACTCGCCCCGAAGACTTGATAAATGAGAAACTATGTACATAAGTATAAAAGGTTCATACATCTCTTCTGAGTTTTACCAGCAGATTACGCTTCCAGATATGCCAGGGCAGTTTGTCTACTTAATATTTGTCCCCGAGGTGGACCATTGGATAAAAAAGAGAATATGAGCAACGCTAAATTAACTTCATTAGGATATGAAGACCAAGATTTTGTGGCCTCTTGTATGGTCACAGTCTCCTTTCGATTTATAGAAGTGGCTTGACCTCGTTGTCGCAACTTGGTATTGTTGTCATGGCGCCTTAGTAGAACGCATCTAGTCCGAAGTCGTCTGCCATAGACAATGAACCAACTACACTATCTGATGCTGGGAATTATGACAACTGCTAGGGCAGATGACTTCGGACTAGGTGAGTTCTACTGAGTCGCCCTGGCAACAAGGCTATGTTGCGACAACGAGGTCAACCCACTTCTAATTTCAATAAGCCTGAGAAATTAAATTTCTCCCAATGAGTCTTTTCACAATCTGTCATGTCCTTGTCTGGCGATTTTGGCGGCATTGACAAAAACATTAATGAAAAAAACATTGAATCAATTAGAACGAGCAATGGATAAATAATAAGAATAATAAAGCTTGTCAAAACTGGCAGTAATATGCTGTTTATTTCTTAAAATTCGATAAAAATGTATTATTCCCTTTATTCTTTTAGATCATGTATACAGGCTAGACTCCTTCCACGCACATTTTTTAACTTAGAC